CATCGAGCCCTTCCCGCTCCGCGTCCTCGTCAACCCCGCGCTCCGCGTCCTCGACAGCCGCCTCGTCACCGGCCCCGAGGGCTGCGCCAGCATCCACGGCTTCTCCGCCTACGTCCCGCGGCACTGGGCCGTCCATGTCTCCGGTACGGACCGACCCGCCCTGTCCCGGGTGGGAACCGCACCTGCCCCTCTCTCACACGGTCCCCTTCTCTTCCCCGTTTCCCGCAGTCTCTCCCGGGTCCCCCAACGCTCACACGGCTCCCTTAATTCTCTGATGGGTTCTGTCCTCTCCCGGGTCTCACCATTCTCTCACAAATCTCACCATACACCGGTCCCCGCTCTCACAGATCCTCCCACTCACACGGGTCCCCTTTTCTCCCCTTCATCACCCCCCAACCCACTGCTATCCCGGCCGCAGGTGTGGACGAGCTCGGGGTGCCGGTGAGCTGGGAGGCCTCGGGCTGGGCTGCCAGGATTGTCCAGCATGAGATGGACCACCTGGACGGGATCCTCTACATCGACCGCATGGACCCCCGCACCTTCACCAACGTGGGCTGGATGGAGCTGCTGGACTGACCCTGCTGAAAGAACCAGCGCAGCTCTGGGGGCTCCCACTCAGCTTTACTGCAGCCAATACAGACCTGTGGCCTCAGCGTGGCTCCGGCCCTTCCTGCCCACCCATGTGCACAGGGAGACAGCCGGGGTCTGCCCCACACTCCCCCGGGCACCGGGAATCCCTCTGTGGGTCTAGGAACAACCTAACCTGCTGCCAAGGCTGTGCAGGGCAGAGGCAAAGGGGGGATTCTCCCCCTGGGGCTTGTTTGGGGTTCATGGTCACAGTGTGGGCAGCAGCAGGGCTGAGGGGAGCCCAGGGACTGCACAGGGGTGTGGGCTGGTGGGTGTCATCAGCTGTTCCATCCAAGCAGCCCCTGCTGTAGGCACAAATCCCTGTCTGGGATGGCCGGAGCGTGAGGAACCTCTGCCCCCTCGGGACAGGCAGAGGCCTTGGCCCTGGGTCATTGCATTTTGGGGGGCTGGGGGCTGGGCTGAGCCCCCTGGTAAGGGCAGAGCCTTGGGGAGTGGCTGGGCACCAGCTGAAGCTCTCAGATTGTTTTTATTTTCATATAAACAAGACAGAACCCAAAGCAGCATTAAGTTAAAAAATAAAAAAAAGAGCAGGAAGAAGAGTGGAGCGCAGCCAGGGGGGGACCCGGCCGCCCATGCTCAGACCCACCCCCGTAGTGTGAGCCCCCCGGGCCGTGTCCCCGCGCCTGCCGGGCGCTGCAGTGCGATGGGGCAGGAGCGAGCGAGCACGGGTCGGTTTGGCACCGCCGGGGAGGGGGGCACAGCGGGGCCTGCAGCTGC